GTGGTAGAGCCCCTGCCTAGAATCCCCCAGTGAGGGGCTGGGGGTGTGGCTCAGTGGTAGAGCCCCTGCCTAGAATCCCCCAGTGAGGGGCTGGGATGTGGCTCAGTGGTAGAGCACTTGACTTTGCATGTCCAAGTCCCATCACCACAAAACAAACAGCACACCTCACCACTAAGGAATCTCCTGGGGGTCCTTCCGGCTTATCAGAGAAGAGCTCCCTTCTTAGAGAGCTGCCCCTTCATCTCCAGGCTTCCAGGGGGTGGCTCCAGCACCACTGCCTACAGCTAGTGAAGGAGAGGGTAAACACAGGAGCAAATCCACCTACCCCTGGACTCCACCAGACCACATCTGTGGAATGGGGGTCAAGCCCTTCCACTGGGTCTTGAGGACAGTCCTATTTGCCCTGGGTCAGGAGAGGACATACAGATAATGGTGGGATGGAGCCAACCTCAAGCTCCCCCGCTCTGTGACAGACTCCTCTAATACTACCCTTAGGGCAGTCACACTCCTTATTGTTCATGGAGCAGGGGCTGGAAAGCGCGCCTGTCACTTGCAGCCTGCAGAACTGGAACTCAGCTGTCAGCCGCTCATCTAGTCGCACACAGAGTGCGGCTTTAACCACCACCATGCAGGGTACTTCTGCACAAACACCACGCTGTTCTGCGGGGTCGATGCAGCGCCACAGAGACATAAGGACGGGGTGATGTCCATTGTCCGGAACCCCCAGCTGTGCACACTCGGGCTGCTCGGCACCCTCAGCCCGGGGGCAGCTGGCTGGCATTCTGTCAGAAAGGCCACCTTCCATGGTCCTGCCACAAAGGCCACAGCTGTCCTGATCTCAGGGGACACGAGGGGCTTTGTGAAGTCAGCATAAAGAATATAGCTTCCCGGCACAGCCACACGGCAGCCCCAGACTCGGCACAATGGCTGCCAGAAGCAGGCTGGGGCTGGCACTGAGGGCGGGGGACCGGCCGTGTCCCTGTCCTTCCATGGACGGGGACAGCGGCAGTGGCGAGCCCGCCGTGAATGCTTCCACACCCATCTCTGACCGGCACTGCACCCGGCTGCTCTCTACACATTCCTCTCGCACTGTCTACTATGGGAGTCCGGGCTACATGGAACTTAGAAAATTTATTGTTTTTTCTAATTTTTATTTTTTCTCATGTAGCCCAGGCTGCGCTGGAACTTGCTATGTAGCCAAGGCTAGCCCTGAACTCCTGATCCTCCTGCCTCTATCTCCCAAACAATAGATAATAGGCATATACCATGGCGCCTGGTATAGCACCTACAATTTAAATCAACAAAAATTTAATAAAATTAGAGACCCTGTCTTTAAAAAAAAAGAAAGAAAGAAAGAAAAGAAAAAGAAAAATTAAAATGTCCTGGGTCAGCAAGGTGGTTCAGAAGGTAAGGTGCCATCTTCAAGCCTGGCAGCTTGAGTTCGATTCCCGGAACCCACATGGTAGCAGAGAACTGATTCTTTGGTTCACTAGGCTCGTTTCTAGTGCTCAGTGGACAGCTGGAGCATTGGCACCACACTGGACGCAGACAGCCCCCTCGCTCCATGCTGACCTCAGAACACAGCTGTGTTTGCCTTCACGGAAAGACTCTTGTGTAAAATGGTGAAGCACCTCAGAGGCCACAGAGCCGGTGCTCATGACTTCAGTGGCTCTGTGGCCACTGTGAGTGAGTCTACGTGTGGCTGGCCTTGCTCCGCAGTTCGTGTGTATGACAGCCTGGCAGAGAGGTGGTGACGGAGCCATGACTTGTCACCACCTTGACTCCTTGGGGCTTCTACAGCTGCTGTAAAGAGCAAGAGAGCTGAGTGTGGTGGTGCATGCCTGCAATCTCAGCACTAGGGAAACTGAGGCAGAAGTGCAAGTTCAAGGCTAGCCTGGGCTACACAGGGAAACCTAGTCTCAGAGGAAACCAACCAACTCACCGACTAACCAGCAAGAGTGAAAAAGTGAACCGGACCACACTGGTGCCAAAGCACGTGGAGACCTGGCTATGGCACGGGCAAGGAGTGGGAGGCTTGGCCTCATCGTGATCCCAGCCTCACCTTTCATCCAGCTCAGCGTGTATTCTTGGCGGCAGCTGGAGCTGACGCAGTGGGAGGTGTAGAAGGTGCCATGGGCCTCCACCAGGTCCTCGGGCTCCAGCCCGGCCACTCGCTCCAGAGTGTCTATGTTCTGGAGCGGGAGACAGAGGGAGGGCAGGACAGTCAGCCCTGTGGGCTCCGAGGAGTGGGACTGCAGGGGACAGGGGCGCCTGGGTGGATGTGTGTGCCAAGTGCCCACTCTTCTGGGGGCCACCGAAGGGTTAACAGCCAGGACTACAGGGCTGCCTAGGCTCAAAGGTCTATGCAGCCAGGTCCATGCCATCATCAGCCCCACGGGACATCATTCTGTAACCTGGGTCATTGTTTCTATTTTTCAGAGACAAAATAACTGTTCCTGGGGGGGGGGGCACCTGCACAGCTTGTGCCCAGCAGCTCTGGACAGGCATTAATATAATAAAATGAATCAAGCCACGAGTGAAGGTGGCTGCTTGATCCCTGACTTGGAGACTGAGGCAGGAGGACTGCGGTGAGTTTAAAGCCAGCCAGGGCTACCCAGCTATTGTCGGGCCAGACAGGGCTACATGGGAAGACCCTGCCTCAAAAACTGAAATAAGGCCGGGCATAGTAGCACACACCTTTAATCCCAGCACTCAGGAGGCAGAGGCAGGCGGATCTCTGAGTTCGAGGCCAGCCTGGTCTACAGAGTGAGTTTCAGGACAGCCAGGGCTGCACAGAGAAACCCTGTCTTGAAAAACAAAACAACAACAACAAAACTGAAATAAACAATAAATAAAGCCAGGCATGGTGGATCATGCCAATAATCCCAGATTGCTACAAGCTTGAGGCTAGCCTACACTACACAGTGAGTCCCAGCCTGGGTGACAAGAGTGAGCCGCTTGAAAAACCCCAGTAAAGGGCTGACAAGATGCCTCAGCAGGTGATGGCACCCGCCACCAACCTGCCAACCTGATTCTGACCCCTGGAAACCACATGGTAGAAAGAAATACCTCCCCACGTTGTCCTCTGAACTCTACACACACACTCAATAAATGTAATAATTTTTTAAATTAATAAATAAAAGAATGTCTTATTTATTTCTTTGGGAGGAGTTATGTTTTTTGAGATCCTTCCTCTAGAGTGCTGGGATTACAGGGATTCACCACCACACCCGGCCTCACGTCACAGACCCCGCCTCAGAGCTGTAAATGACTCAGTCTAGAGAGTCATTACACATATGCAAAGTCTAGAGTCATTACACATATGCAGAGGGCTAAACAAGGGTCTAGGGAACTACCACATCCTGTATCTGCGGGAAACACCACAGCCTGGATCCGCGGGAGACACGGTTCAGGATCATAGGAGATGCCTGAAACCTCAGCCTGGGTTGGCTCCTATCCACACAGATGTGCCTATGTCCTGATGAACCCGTTGTGAGTTGAAGTTGCCTCAGATACATCTACCCTATTGCACATCACAGCTAAGTGACCCAGGACCTGCCTGGGTAAGTCTGCACGGTTTCCCCTCATGATGACGTGGCAGGACGGCTGCCTCTACCCAATGCCAACAGAGTAAAGCTGGGCTGGCGCAAGTCTGTAACCTCAGCTACAGGCGGAGGTGAGACGGAAGGATGGCAAGGTCAAGGCCTGCCTGGGCTCATGGCTCAGCAGTAAAACATTTGCCTAGAATCCCCCAGTGAGGGCTGGGGTGTGGCTCAGTGGTAGAGCCTCTGCCTAGAATCCCCCAGTGAGGGCTGGGGCGTGGCTCAGTGGTGGAGCCCCTGCCTAGAATCCCCCAGTGAGGGGCTGGGGTGTGGCTCAGTGGTAGAGCCCCTGCCTAGAATCCCCCAGTGAGGGGCTGGGGGTGTGGCTCAGTGGTAGAGCCCCTGCCTAGAATCCCCCAGTGAGGGGCTGGG